CTCCGAAACAAATAAACAATAAACTTTATTTACCCAAGATCAAGTGTCAAATTTGAGAGATTAGTGCAATTTCCTAAAGCCTAATTTAAGCCTGAAATACCTTAATCATCAATTTAATTTCCACTTTTTAAATATTGAAGAAAAAATATATAATTACTAAGTTATTTAAAAGTAAAAAGTGATGAAATTATAAGAAATCAATTTCTAATAGTAAAAGTAAAAATGCTGAAAATATTAAAAAATGAGTGAAATTATGAAAGAAAGAATGAATAAATAAAAATATAATTTCAATAAAAAAGTAAAAGATATTAATAAATCTAATAAAAAGTTAATTAATGAATTAAAAATGTTTAATTGTTTTAAATTCATTTTTATCAATAAAAATATCATAATCCAAAATAAATAAACTGTTTAAATCAAATAAAAGTGTTAGAAGGAAAAAATGTAAAAAAAAAAATATATAATGAATTTAAAAAATTTAAAGTGAATAAAACTGCTAAAATAATTTTTTTTTAAAATAATATATGAAAAGAGGTGATGATTTCTATTAGAAAAATAATATTTTTAATAAACTGAGCATTAAATATATAGAAAGTATTAATAATACCTCAGATCAATATGGAGAACCTAATAAGATTAAAGTGAAGAGTTTAAAATCTTTTTATATTAGTAAAAATAAATTTAAAGTATATTAATAAAAAAACAAGAAATTACTTCTTCTAATTTATTATAATATTTAATCTATTATATCATTTATTTATTTTTTCAAAAATATTGAAAAGCAACTTATGAAAATTTAATTAATTATAAATAAAAAAACAAATAAATAAATAAATTAGATTAATTTATAAATTTGCTTATATTAAGAGAAATTACAAAAAAGATAGTGTAACTTTCATTATTAAATCTTAACATTTCTATTTAAAATGTGTACTTAAAAATATAGTAGCAAATATATAGAGAGAGATTGGATATAATAGATAGTGAGAATACGAACTTACTGGGATAAAAATTTTTTAACATATTTATCAGTATTTTTATATTTACAACTCGAAAAGTTAAAAACACTGTAAAATATAATTTTAAAAAATATTTAATAATCAATAGATTATTATGAAAAAATATAAAACAAATAAAGTTGAATATAAAAAGGCTCTTTAAATATTAAGTAAATTATGCTTTTTTATGAGAAGATAATTTTTATCGATTATAAGAAAATTATTTTGATAAAATGTTAGAAAATTTTATCTATTGTTAATTTTATAAAGATGATTAATCCATCCTTTAATTTTTATTATAAGATATTATTTTATCGATTTTAAAAACTATTGTTTTCTTATTTATTTATCTCAATAAATAAATATTATTTTATTTTGTTTTTTATTTCATTAAATTAAGTTAAAATAGAACCTATAATAAATATATATTTATAAAAAAATAAAGTGAAATTGATTATTTTATATTAATTATTATTAAATTATTTTGTAAGCAATTAATAGAATAAATTTAATTTTTATGCTTAACGGGTAAATCAAAAACTGTTTAAATCTTCTTGTTATTTTTAATTAATTATCAAAAAAAAAGAATCATTCATATATAATTACTTTTTCAGTTAACAAATTTTTACAATTAAATTAAAAAAACAAAGAAATTAATTAAAAGAAAAGAAAGAAAAAAAAGGTAAATAAAAAAAGATTTAATTAGAAAATAAAATATATTATTCAAATTAATTTAAAAAATATTTTTTCTTTTACGCTAAATATTATAATTATTTTTTATATTAGCAATTGCTACTAATCATGTAACAATAACAAGATATTCAGCTTAAATATGAAGCACCTGCAGAAAAATTTGAAGAAATTTTTGAGGAATACTTGTAGAAACATAAGAAAAGTATGATTTTTGATTCAGATGAACTAATATCGATTTACAATGAGCTTCAAAAGGAGAAGATATACTTAACATCCTACATTTCACAAGGTGGTTTTGGATGTATTTTTGAGGCTAAGCACAATGAAGAAATAGTAGCTATCAAATGTAGCAAAACTAACTTTCAAAAAATAGAAGAAGAAGAAAAAATACTGAATTTGTTAAAGGATACTCCTTATGTTTTTAAATTTATCAAAGGGTTTACAAACTAAAAAAAATCAAGATACTATCAGATTTCTAAAAGATATTCATGTAAAAATTTATATTTTTTTCTTAATAGTTTTTTAAAAATATTAAATTTTATAGGCAATCTTAAAGAAATTATGAAAAGCTTCTTTGACTAGAGAAAAACTCTACCACTAAACTAAATAATTGGTTTTGCTATTCAGATGTCAACAGTCTTTGAAAAAATTGAGTAGAATAAGTTGCTTCATTCTGATATTAAACCTGAGAATATCCTTTATGATAGCTAAGAAAAATGTTTTTATCTAAGTAAAGTTCTAACATTATTTAAAATTTTTAATAAAGAAACTTTTAAAACAGACAAACAAATAAACATATATTGTAAATTCATTTAATCTTACCCCCTTCTAAAAATGTGTTTACAATTAACACTAATTTAATAAATTTTGCCCATAATTTTGAAATTTTCATTTCTAAAAGCATAAAAAAAGCAAATTTACATATTAAGCTAAATTAAAAAAATTTATTGGTTAGTTTTAAATCTTTTATAATTTATTTATTATTGATATAACATACCAATCAAAACTCTAATTGCATATCAAACCACTAGATTTTTTATTCAAGTATTTTTAAATCTAAATAAATGAATTCGTTCTGTTAATTAAATTAAATTTTATAAATTTAACACTTATTTATAAAAATTTACATTATTTTTTAAAATATTTGTGATTTAATCATTAGAATTAATATAATTTTGAATTATTTAAGTATATATTTCTTAATAAATAAACTAATATTTTTAATTTATAAGATTTACTTTTAAGATTATAATAAATATTTCATTTTTTAAATTAAGAAGTTTATTTTAACCTAAATTCTTATATATTATTTAAAAGGTGATTATGGAGAGTCTAAATAATTTTAAAATGGATCAAAAACTTACGATGTAATCAATTTATTTATTTATTAATTTATTACTATTCAAATTTATTTCAGCTTTCTTCATTTTTAGATTTTAAATACTTACTTTTAAAAATTTAATTTATTAAAATTTATCAAAAGTTCTTCATTTTTCTAATATTTATAAATTTCTTTATACTCTTAATATATTAAATTTTATTTCGATATGAATTTATTTTTATTTTACATTCTTAATCTTTAAAAGCTCAAAGGGTATACACCAAAATATGCAGCTCCAGAAATTACAGATATATAAAATGGTATCTTCAATATCAAAGTAAATCTTTTAATTATTTTATTATATATTTACTTATTTTTAATTAAATTTTAATTTAAAGTATGACATTTATGGCTTAGGAGTAATTCTCCTTGAATTAACCCTTGGAAAGTTTCTAGAAGACTCAGATTGTTCTTTTATCAGAAATGGATCACTACCAAAATATATAAGCAAAAATGCTTTATATTAAGATATTAACTAAATCATAGTTAAAATGCTTGAAAAAATGCCTTCGAATAGAATTGGTTCATTTGAACTAACTAAAAAATTAAATGAGCTAAGACTAAAGCTAGAAAATTAGTTCATTTGTGCAGTATAAGACAAATTGGATTTTACTGAATCTAATATGATGATTTCAAAATTCAGACAATCTTTTCTTAAATTTAACTACACATGCAAACAAAGTGAAGTCAGATTAGATAAGTACAATTTTGAAAGTTACAGAAATCTCTCTAAAATCTAGGAATGCATAGCAAAGAGGCTTGTTCATGACTTAAATCTTAATTTCAGGTATTAATAATATTATTTAATAATTTTAAGTATTTTTAAAAAATTTCATTTTAATAAATTATTCTTAAAAATAAATTCTTTAAATAGCATCAAATTTTAATATTTTTAATTTATTAAATTGATATTTTCTCCTAAAATAAATCTAAATTATTATTTTATAATTATTTTTAAATTACTAAATAAAAATTTAGAAATTGGTTATTTTTTCATAATTTTAATTTGATTATTATTTGTGAATAGATTTTAATTCGTAAATAAATCCACTTATTTTTATTTAAATAAAGTTTTATTTTATCAAAATTAGTATAAAGCAAAATATTGAAAATGCAATTTATTTTATACATCTTTTTTGTTTCATACTTTTGAGATATAATGTTATTAAAAATTTTAATTGCTTAATAAAATGAAATGAAAAATAGAATTAATCAATGAATTGAAAATAAAACATATAATTTTAGTAATTATTTTATTTAAATTTGCATAATTAAATACTTAAATTTTTATTTACTGTAGAAATAAAGAAAGATTTTTACAAATATTGAGAGTAAAAAAAATTTTTTTTAAACTTAAAAATCTGCCATTTTCGCCCTTATTCGGTTGGCCGGTTGATGGGTCTAACCGAGGGAATAAGGTAATAAAATTGAGAAATTTTTTGATAAAAGAAATTTAATTATGAGATAAATTAAATATAAAATAAAAAAAGAAGATTTCTAAATATTAATTTTAGGTTAAAACAATTTTGAACCTATTAAAAAATTTTAATAGATTTTTCATTCGTTAAATAAAATATTTATAAATTTTGCAAATTAGCTATTAATAAAAAAGTTTTAATTTTTAAGAAAGTATATATTTATCATAATAAATAATTATAAAATCAAAGTTGTAAATTATTATGTGAGCTATCAAAATAAAAAAATTACCTAAGATTCAAAACTATTTTATATAAAAATTAATAATAGATTATTATAATTTTTTTATCTTTTTTAGAAAAAAAATTAAAAATATTTTACCTTTTTAAATTTAAACTAAAAATTTTAGTTCCCAAAACTATCATTTTAATTTATGTATTCTCATAAATTGTTTTTTGATTTTTTTGTTTAATTTTTGTGCATCTAAATTTATTTGTTTACGAATTGAAACAATTATTCCAATTAATTGAATCAAAAATAAATAAGCACTTTTCAATATGTTTAGCAAAATCATTCATTATTAACCCATTTATTAATTACTTTTCTATTTTATTTTCATTATTTTCAACAAATTCATTATTTATTATTTTCATAGCTATAATAACCTTGGTGCAGATGGAGCTAAGAACATTGGAATGAGCTTGGAGAAGTGCCAAAATATAACATCTTTGAATCTCAATCTCTAGTAATTTAACTAACTATCAATTTATTTAGTTTGTTTTAATTAATACATTTGTGAAATTGAAACTTAAAACAAATGGGTTTGGAGAATTAATTGATTGATTGATTCACAGCTCATAAATTGTTTTTTGATTTTTTTGTTTAATTTTTTTTGTGCATCTAAATTTATTTGTTTACGAATTGAAACAATTATTCCAATTAATTGCATCAAAAATAAATAAGCACTTTTCAATATGTTTAGCAAAATCATTCATTATTAACCCATTTATTAATTACTTTTCTATTTTATTTTCATTATTTTCAACACATTCATTATTTATTATTTTCATAGGGGTAATAAGCTTGGTGCAGATGGAGCTAAGAACATTGGAATGAGCTTGGAGAAGTGCCAAAATATAACATCTTTGAATCTCAATCTATGGTAATTTAACTAACTATCAATTTATTTAGTTTGTTTTAATTAATACATTTGTGAAATTGAAACTTAAAACAAATGGGTTTGGAGAATTAATTGATTGATTGATTCACAGCTCATAAATTGTTTTTTGATTTTTTTGTTTAATTTTTTTTGTGCATCTAAATTTATTTGTTTACGAATTGAAACAATTATTCGAATTAATTGCATCAAAAATAAATAAGCACTTTTCAATATGTTTAGCAAAATCATTCATTATTAACCCATTTATTAATTACTTTTCTATTTTATTTTCATTATTTTCAACACATTCATTATTTATTATTTTCATAGTTGGAATAACCTTGGTGCAGATGGAGCTAAGAACATTGGAATGAGCTTGGAGAAGTGCCAAAATATAACATCTTTGAATCTCAATCTATCGTAATTTAACTAACTATCAATTTATATTTAGTTTGTTTTAATTAATACATTTATGAAATTGAAACTTAAAACAAATGGGTTTGGAGAATTAATTGATTGATTGATTCACAGCTCATAAATTGTTTTTTGATTTTTTTGTTTAATTTTTTTTGTGCATCTAAATTTATTTGTTTACGAATTGAAACAATTATTCCAATTAATTGCATCAAAAATAAATAAGCACTTTTCAATATGTTTAGCAAAATCATTCATTATTAACCCATTTATTAATTACTTTTCTATTTTATTTTCATTATTTTCAACACATTCATTATTTATTATTTTCATAGGGATAATAAACTTGGTGCAGATGGAGCTAAGAACATTGGAATGAGCTTGGAGAAGTGCCAAAATATAACATCTTTGAATCTCAATCTATCGTAATTTAACTAACTATCAATTTATATTTAGTTTGTTTTAATTAATACATTTATGAAATTGAAACTTAAAACAAATGGGTTTGGAGAATTAATTGATTGATTGATTCACAGCTCATAAATTGTTTTTTGATTTTTTTGTTTAATTTTTTTTGTGCATCTAAATTTATTTGTTTACGAATTGAAACAATTATTCCAATTAATTGCATCAAAAATAAATAAGCACTTTTCAATATGTTTAGCAAAATCATTCATTATTAACCCATTTATTAATTACTTTTCTATTTTATTTTCATTATTTTCAACACATTCATTATTTATTATTTTCATAGGGATAATGAGCTTGGTGCAGATGGAGCTAAGAACATTGGAATGAGCTTGGAGAAGTGCCAAAATATAACATCTTTGAATCTCAATCTATAGTAATTTAACTAACTATCAATTTATTTAGTTTGTTTTAATTAATACATTTGTGAAATTGAAACTTAAAACAAATGGGTTTGGAGAATTAATTGATTGATTGATTCACAGCTCATAAATTGTTTTTTGATTTTTTTGTTTAATTTTTTTTGTGCATCTAAATTTATTTGTTTACGAATTGAAACAATTATTCCAATTAATTGCATCAAAAATAAATAAGCACTTTTCAATATGTTTAGCAAAATCATTCATTATTAACCCATTTATTAATTACTTTTCTATTTTATTTTCATTATTTTCAACACATTCATTATTTATTATTTTCATAGGGATAATAAACTTGGTGCAGATGGAGCTAAGAACATTGGAATGAGCTTGGAGAAGTGCCAAAATATAACATCTTTGAATCTCGATCTATGGTAATTTAACTAACTATCAATTTATTTAGTTTGTTTTAATTAATACATTTGTGAAATTGAAACTTAAAACAAATGGGTTTGGAGAATTAATTGATTGATTCACAGCTCATAAATTATTTTTTGATTTTTTTGTTTAATTTTTGTGCATCTAAATTTATTTGTTTACGAATTGAAACAATTATTCCAATTAATTGCATCAAAAATAAATAAGCACTTTTCAATATGTTTAGCAAAATCATTCATTATTAACCCATTTATTAATTACTTTTCTATTTTATTTTCATTATTTTCAACACATTCATTATTTATTATTTTCATAGGAGTAATAACCTTGGTGCAGATGGAGCTAAGAACATTGGAATGAGCTTGGAGAAGTGCCAAAATATAACATCTTTGGATCTCAA